AGTGCCGTGAGGAACGTCTGAGCGTCGTCCTCGAGGAGCTCGAAAGAGTCGTCCACTGTCTCGTAGAACGACACCGCCTCCGGATCGTCGCACCACGGGGCTGGGGGTGGCTGAACGTCGGGCTCCTCCAGAGTCTGCTCCACGTATGTCTTCGTCGCCGTAGAGGTCGATCCAGGGAGCACACTGCGCTCGCGCACGTCTAGCAACAAGAGGGCCTGTCTGATAGCCTGGAACGACTTGTCGCCTCCCGCCAGCGTCCTCAAATTGATTTTATTTTGTTGACTGAGATTGGCACCCTCCTCCAGATATCTTGCGAGAACCCCGTCGGGAAGCTTCAGTCCGAAGGTCTCCGCCGTCGAGATCTGGGCGTCCCGTCTGAGGACATAGTCTGTCAAGCTCTCGCCACGACGGATGCTGTAGTCGAAGAGTGCCTCGTTCTGAGCCTCCCTTTCTTTATCACCTGGGCGCTCTCCGTTGAGTATTGCTAAGTGGTCCAACAGCTTCTCCACGCCGTCGCGGACGTCTAGTGTCGATCTCACCAGCTTGAACTTGCTCTGGATCTCGACGGGGAGTGTCTCCAGAACCTTGGCTGCCTGAACCTCGGCAGCGTACCCAGTCCTCCTCGCCCATGCGCGTAGATTACCCTTGTAGAGATCCAGATGCTCATAGTTGAGCCAGGTCGGCGGCGCACCGAAGTCACGGTTTGGGCGATCCCATGAGCGACTCCACCAGCTATCCCACTGACTCGAGTCGCTCCGCCCTTCCTGCTCCGGCGCCACCGCCGCACCTGTGGGGGCCACGCCAGCCGCGGCCGTGTCCGCCGCCTCTGGCTGAGCTGGTACCCGCTGCCACGAACCTGCCGTCGAGCTCCACCCTGTCCACGCGGTGCTCCATGTCTGGCGCCACCAGGGGTCTTGGGCACCAGCTGAAGTCGCGGCCCCGGCTGCGGGGCGCGTGGTCGTCTCTGGAGCCGATGCGGCCCAGGGATCCGTCGGCATCGTCTGCGTCTGGCCATGCTGTCGGCCGGTGCCTGCATCGTCCTCCCCCTCTTGCCCCTCACCAGAGGCTCCGCTTACCATTGTCCCAAGCTAGAAGCACGGTGGGAAGTGTGGAAAGGGGGCGAAGGGGGGAGAGCACGTTTTGTCAAGCACCAGGCGCGCAGCCTAAGCCCAAAGGGCTACGGAAGGAGTCCGAGCCCTACCCACGGCTAAACCCGAAGAGTGGGGGAGGAGAGGTCGAGAGGAAAAGGGACCGGGGGCCCTCGAGGGCCAGAGGGTCACCGGGACCCCACGGACCTCCGGGACCCGGACCCCGGGGCCCGAGGGGGACACGTCCAGGCGGGGGCCCCTGGGGCCGTCTTGAGGCCGCCCTTGGGGCCTCTCGGGCTGCCTTGGGGCCATCCTGGGCCGTCTTGCCGGCCTGGTGGGGGCCTCTGGGGCCGTCTTGGGGCGATCTCGGGGGCCTCTGGGCTCGTCTTGGAGCGTCAGATGCCCAAAACGACGAGTACTCTATACTTGCTCGGGAATCTGAGGGATCTCATAGATTTTGGCCTCCTGGAGGTCCTCCTCGAGCCGTATTGGGGCGTCTAAGGGCCCTCCAGAGGCCATCTTGTGTCCTCCCTGGGCAGGCGTAGGTCCATCTTTGGGCGCTGTAGGGTGGTCTTGGAAGTCCCTGGGGCGGTCTTGGGGCTTTGTTGGGGGCCTCTTGGGCTGCCTTGGGGCCCTCTTGGGCCGTCTTGCAGGCCTATTGGGGGCCTCTTGGGCCGTCTTGGGGCGATCGTGGAGGCCTATGGGCTCGTCTTGGAGTGTTGGATGCCCGAAGCGGTGAGAACTTAGGTCCTCTTGGAACGCCCCTTGGGCGGCTCAGGGGCCTCCTGGACTGCCTGGAGGACATCTCTGGAGGCCTCGAGGCCATATCGGCCATCCTGTGGGAGTACTGGGACTGTCTTGGAAACCATCCGTCTTGGACGCCATCGAAGGATTGCAAAAAAACCTTCGAAGGGTTTTTTGCAATCCTTCGTTTTTTTTTTTTTTTTTTTTTTTTTTTTTTTTGCAATTCTTGGGTTTTGTGCAATCCTTCGAAGGGTTTTTGTTGCAATCCTTGGTTTTTTTTGCGACCCATCTTGGAACTATCTGGAGCGGAAGTTTCCTTGCCGACCGGGTCGGGGGGAGCTTCCCGGGCGGCCGGCCGGTTGGGCCGAAGGCCCCTATGGGAAGTTTCAGTGCGCACAAGAAACTGCCCAACGTTTGGCAGGCCGTGCACCCCCGGTGGCAAGCCGCCGGGGGCGGCGGATCTACGGCCTTCGGCCCATACCGCCACCGTGCCGGAGTTTTGGGCCAGAGGCTTCCTGGATGCCTGCAATTCGGGGTCTCTTGGCGTGCCTCTCGGGCGCCTCGTGGGGCGGGCTTTGAAGTTTCTCAGGGCCTCTTGCTTGAGGGCCGTCTGGGGGCCCCTCGTGGGGCCCCCGAGGACCACCTAGGCGCCTGGCAGCTTCGGGGCCCACTTGTAGCGGAGGGCTCGAAATGTCAGCTGGAATTCTCCCTCTCGGACCCCTCTTGGAGCTCCCTTGGGCCGTCTTGGGTGCCTCTGGGACCCTCTTGGGACTCTCTTGCGCTGTCCTGGGGCCCTCCTGGGCCGTCTTGGGGCGATCTTGGGGGCGACTTTGGTCGTCTTCGGCGCTATGAAGGCCCTAACAACGGATATGCAAACACATGTAAGTTCTCCTGCAAGGGATGGGGCAGTTCTGGCCTTCTGAAGCTCTCTCGGGGAGCATCTTGGAGCCTTCTTGGGGCGTCTTCGGGGCCTCTTGGGCCGCTCTGGTCTCTTCTTGGTGGCCTTCAGAGCTGCTTTGAGCCGCCGGGGCGGGGGGCCTGGGAAGCTCCGGAGGGGTCGAACACGTCGTGGGCTCGAAGGGGGGGGGAGGAGTGGGCGGTACCCCAGCAAATGATGTACAGCGATGCCAGGTGACGCCACACCGTCGCTTAGACGGAGTGCATCGACTGAGACCTATATATATATACACACCAGAGAGAGAGGCAGAGAGAGACAGCGAGAGAGAGAGGGAGAGAGCGACAATGGAAGTGAGAGAGAGAGAGAGAGAGAGAGACAGAGAGACAGAAAGAGAGAGAGAGAAACATATAACGATACATACATACAGACAACCTATACATACCTCTACGACCACCCTTTGGATGATAAGAGGGTTCGGGAGGGGAGAAACCAACATCTCACTCAATCGATCACTATCAATATCATTATCTCTCGCTCATGCGGTGGATATCACGATCAATCCCACTACCAATATCACCATCGATCTCACAATCGATCTCAGTATCGATCTCACTACCGATCGCACTATCGATCTCACAATGGATCTCACTATCGATCTTCTCATCGACCTCACAATCGATCCCACTATCGATTTCACTATCGATCTCACTATCAATCTCACTATCGATCTCAATGCCGATCTCACCATCGATCTCACCATCGGTCTCACTATTGATCTCACAATCGATCTTACAATCGATGTCACACTCGATCTTACTATTGATCTCACTATCGATCTCACTATGGATCCCACTATCGATCTCACTACCGATCTGACTATCGATCTCACTATCGATCTCACTACCGACATCATTATCGACCTCACGGGACACCACGAGGACACTGCGCCACGGGACACCAAGGGCCACCACGGCGGGACACCCCCGGCCACCGCTGGCCAAAGGGGGGTGGGAGGGACGGTCTTTTGGCCCGGCGGCGCCCTAGCCACAGGAGGGTTCATTCCTCTCGTCCGCCCACGCAGCGTCGCCTCGCCCGCACGCGCGACCGATTTCCCGGTATGGGGTTTGAGCACATAGTCCAAGGAGTTGCCCCCCTGTAATCTCGTGCTAGGCAATATGTATGCAGATAACTCTGCAGCGGCAGGAGCCGCTAAAGGCAGATTGCCAAAGGCAGAACGTGCACGCATACAATTAGTAGAACAGCAAGCTTTCGTAGTCCGCATGCGTATTCTCCAGAGCACCCTTGAGGCCATCCTTGCTGAGGAAAACCTAGAGGTCGCCGAGGGGGGCCAGCGTAGGCGTAGGCGTCAGCAACATGTTTCTTCTGTTGTAAGGCCGCCTGCGGCCAGTGTTTGTGCCTTGTTCATGACCCATCATTGCCTCAAGGAAAACTCCAAGAGCTGTTCCAGGTGTCAGGGTTTTGCGTCTCACGCTCGCAAAACCGAGTGGATGAGTTCACCTTGTTTTTCTTTAATTAATGTGGACGGTGTTGTCTGGCGACCCCCCTCTGGCGCGCGGGTGCACATATCGGGGGGCTACGCTCACACATCACACATACTCAGATTCCATTCGGGGTTGGGCATATGGTTTTGTACTGCATGCGGCTGCTTCGCTTCCGAACAGTTGAGACAGCTTGGAGCAGTGTGTAGTGATGTCGTTAATGTTAATCGTAGAGTGTGTCTTGATATAATCACCCGTGGTCTTTGGCCTAAAGTTCGTAGTAAAGCCGAACTGGCCAGGAAGAAGCAGCAGGGGTAAGCTGCCAAGAAGTAACCGACACTGTCGCCATACCCAGAACTCCAGAACTCCTCCTCCGCCGCCGCCGCCACCGCCGTGTCGCCGCCGCCGCCGCCGCCGCCGCCGCCTCCGCCGCCGCCTCCTCCTCCTCCTCCTCCTCCTCCTCCTCCTCCTCCTCTGCCTCCCTCTCCCAGTCCTGACTTGGCTGACCTCCGCCCCTGTTGCGCAACCCCTTCGAACGGCCCGTCTCCCACACGACCTCCACCCGAGGCAATCCGCGCGCCTCTTTTTGGCCGCCTGCACGTGGTCTCTTAGGCGGCGAGCCAGGGGGGGAAGTGAGAAGGGGCGTGTCTTCTCAGAAGGCTCGGAAGTCATCCGGACTTCAGAGAAGTTTTCTAAGCCTTCCCTGAAGACAAAAAACACTTCTCAGAAGGCGCGAGGGCTTCTGAGAAGTCCCGCCGCCTTCTAAGAAGGCCTTCTCCTTCTCAATTCCCCCCCTCGCTCGCCGCCGGTCTCTGCTGCCGAGCAGCTCGCTGCCTCCTCGCACGCGCGGCTTCGCGCCCGGGGCGCGCGCGCGCCAGGCTGGAGGGCACGAGACTGGGCGGGTGGATGGAGAGGCGGTCTCGGCTCGCTCTGCAGCTCTGGGTGACCGTGGCCGATCAGCCCTGGGGCCGCGCCGCACAGATCGGACGCGTCGGATAGGCAGTCGGCGGACCTCGCGCGGCGACAGGCGAGCGGCGTGGGACCTTTTCGTCATGGCCTCCACGCCTGTGTGCACACATACTTACACACCAGCATACATATCTGTATATATATATATATATATATATATATATATATATACACTGTATATACGGAGACCGAGGGAGAGAGAAAGAGAGAGAGAGAGAGAGCACGACGAAACGAGCGGCGGTCGAAATTAAACCACGTTCTTGACACATTCCATGTTGCATCGAACCGTATCCGCTGAACCCCCACGCCAAGATGACACGGAGTCGTCAGACGGTACCTCGTCGCCCCACCTTCCAACTCTCTATGTCCACCGGCAGCCCATCACGCGCCTCTCGCCCGTGGCCCTCAGCGCACGCATGGGGAAGTACGTAACGCGCCGTGAACTTTTTTACTGAGCGCCTCGCGGCGGCGGCCCCGGCGACACGCTATGCCTTGCACGTGGATAGCGCGTCGCTCCGCACCGCGGGGCGGGAGGCTGGGAACAGAGGAGGAGGAGGCGGAGGAGGAGGGGGAGGAAGAAGGGAGGAAGGAGGAGGGAAGAGGGAGGAGGGAAGAGGGAAGAGGGAGGAGAAAGAAGGGAGGAGGGAGGCGGGAGGAAGGAGGAGAAAGAAGGGAGGAGGGAGGCGGGAGGAGGGCGGAGGGAGCTCGGGACGCTGACGCCCAGGGCCCGCGACGTGGACAGCGTGCCCGCGCCGAGACGTGGCGAGCCGGAGCCCGCGGCGCGACGCGCTGAGAGTTTTCCTGGCCGCAGTGCGCAGCTCAAAATCTGACGCTGATGCTGATGCTGATGCTGATGATGATGATGATGATGATGATGAGGAGGAGGAGGAGGAGGAGGAGGAGGAGGAGGAGGAGGATCAGGAGGAGGAGGATCAGGAGGAGAGATCAGGAGGTGGAGGAGGAGGAGGAGGAGGAAGAGGAGGAAAGGGAGAAGGAGGAGGAGGAGGAGGAGGAGGAGGAGGAGGGGGAGGAGGAGGAGGAGGAGGAGGAGGAGGAGGAGGAGGAGGAGGAGGATCCATGGCCCCGAGCCTCCGAAAGGCACGGAGGGCCTGGCTCCCGAATGGGGTCAAAGCAGATGGTGTCGGAGGGTGGCGCCGCATCATCGGCGACGCTACCGATGCATCGGTGTCGTCGGCGTGGAGAATATGGGGTTCCACACCGAGCCGCATCGCCGATGCATCAGCGATGCGGCGCGACCCTCCGACCCCATCTGGGAGCCCCAACTAGATCAAACCGCTTGCTGTGCACAACCCAGACCCCCGCGATTCTGCTCTTTTTTTTGTAGCGTCGACCCCCGGAGGGCTCGACCCATTCCCGGGGACCGGTTTTTCACCCCGATTCGTTTCCTGACGGTCCCGAGGGCCGGTAAGGGCCCCCGCAGGTCGCAGATCGCGAGCAACCGCCCGTCGTGGTCGTCTTCCCGACTAGAGAGTCGGGGATGGACAGTGAAAACGACCTGAGGCCCAAACCTGGCGGGCGCAAGCCTGGAAAATAACGGCCACGGCGCCCTCTCGAGAACCGAGAACGGACAATTCACTAATCGACGTGTCACTGTTGGGGGTTCTGTCCACCCCCGAGAGAGGGCCTGGGAATGTTCCAGGGCCCCGGACCCCCGAGAGAGGCACAGAGGGCCTGGCTTTGGGTCGGGCATGTCCTCCTACCGGCGGATTTTGGACGACAGATCAACAATAGTCCAACAACAACGCAGTAGGAACCTCGTTCCCAGACTTTCTCTGATATCTTTTTTTGTTTTTTTGGTTTTTGGGTGTGTGTGCGTGCGACTATTTTGGAAGATTCCTCTGGTAGAGGGACATGCCCGACTTAAGCCTGGCTCCGAAAGGCCACCAGCCCGCCGAGGGGCGGGGGGGGGAGTGGGAGAAGGGAGGGAGAGACTCGCCATCGCTCGGACGTCCATTCCCCGTGTTTTTGTCGGTTTCGTGCGTGGTTTTCTCGCCAAATGGTCAAGGATGCTCCTCGATGGTCCTCGCCGAAGAAAAAACGCACACGTCCGAGCGATGCCAAGGGGAGGGGAGGACGCGCGCCCGCGCGCACTCGGCCGCCCGCCCGCGCCCGCACCGCGCCGGCAGGCAGGGCTGAGGGGCAACGATAGGGGGGGGACTGGCACCTGGCATCGCTCGGACGTCCATTTCCTGTGTTTTTTTCTGGTTTCGTGCGTGGTTTTTCCGCCAACTGATCAAGGATGCTCCTCGATGGCCCTCGCCGAAGGAAAAATGCACACGTCCGAGCGATGCCAAGGGCATAGGGGGGGATGCACCGACCTGGAATCGGCGAGGCATCGCCGATAGGTGGGCGATCTGCCTCCGACAGCGAGTCCGCACCTTTCTGGGCAGGCTGGGGCTATCGGGCCCCCATCGGCGATCCCTGGGCGATCGGGGGTCGATGCATCCCCCTCCGATGCCCATCCCCCCCCCTATCGTTGCCCCCGGAGGGCTGTGGCACCACCGCCCCTCAGGCGGGCGCGGCCCACCTGGTCCTCGCCAGGGCGTCGGCGGCGCGCGGGCCCTCTCGCGGCACCGGCAGGCCGCCGCCGCCGGAGGCGGCACGGGCGCCGGCCGGGGCGGACGAACGCCGGGCCGAGGCTTCACAGACGCGTGGACCCTCGAAGCCTCCAAGTAGGACGAAGCCAGGACTTCTGTTGCTCTCATCGCGCTTAAGAGCCGCATCCCAGAAATACTTTCGAACACCCAGACAAATATCGAAACAGTATCGCCTCCCATGGCCCGACACGCGACAATCCTCCAGTTTCGGCACCTTCTTGGTGCTCGAAGTTCTTTCTGGTGATCCAAGCTGAAAATCGTTTGGAACATCATAAGCCGGGACGAGGACAACATCGGGTGAAGATAATACATCGAGGATCTCCGCGAGCCAGCGGCGCTGGAAGATGACTCGTGCGCCGCGGCCTTCTCAGAGCGGTCTCCGGAACGCTCTGAGGGCGTTCCGGAGCGCTCTGGAACGGATTCATCCTCGTCCCAGCCCCGTCCGACCGAGGCCCTGCGGGGACATCCAGGGACCTCAGGACACCTCTGGAGGCCTCCAGAGGCCGTCGTCAACAACGTCGTCGTCGTCGGCGTCGTCGGGGAGAAGCTCGCCTCCTGCTTTTGGGTACGCCCACCACCAATCCACACCAAGCTCGCCGTTGGATGAAGGCGACGAGTGAAAGCTCAGGGGTGCCAATCCAGTTGGACAAAAGTTAGGCGAGGAGAAATCGCCTCGCCCCCCCTGCCTTTGGGCCCGCCCGCAACCAGTCCACACGAAGCTGGCCGCCGCATGAGGGTGATGAGTGGAAGCTGGTGGCTGGTACGGCGTGGTCTGGCTTGGGAGCGAAGTCAAGGGTCGAAGGCTGTCCTCTGAGAAAGGTGGGGGATAGCAAGGGGGGGTCAACACCCCAGCTGCATACATCCGGTTTTCCAGGCGCCTCCCTGGAGCCGGAGGCGGGCATGTATCGGGGAAGGTGCCCTTCGGCGGCGCCGAAACCAGCCGAACGCAGCATATTGTGTCCCCCCTGCCCCCGAGACTTGTCCAGGAACAAGTCTGGCCGCAGAGAACGTTAGTATCCGCGGCGGTACTCGTTGGTATACACTTTTTACGCAAGGTGCTTCTTGAGTGTCTCGCTCTGAGAAGGTCCCCCAGAAGGACTCGCTGCACGGGCGCAAACCCGGCTCAATCAGTTTTCGGGAAACTGCTCTGCATCTTTTTGCTGGGCCTCCCAAGCCTGGCCCAACCGATACGTAAGGCCAGCGGAGGACCACGAGCGGCTCCTAAACCCAGCTCAGCCAAGATCTGGCGCTGCAGGATCCTGAGGAACCGCAAGTGAGGAGGAGGAGGAGGAGGAGGAGGAGGAGGAGGAGGAGGAGGAGGAGGAGGAGGAGGAGGGGAGAGGAGGAGGAGGAGGAGAGGAGGAGGAGAGGGAGGAGGAGGAGGAGAGGGGAAGGAGGAGGAGAGAGGAGGGAGGAGGAGGAGAAGGAGGAGGAGAAGGAGGAGGAGGAAAGGGGGGAGGAGGAGGAGGAGGAGGAGGGAGGAGAGGAGGAGGAGGAAGGAGGAGGAGGAGGAGGAGGAGGCGAAGTCGAGGAGGAGGAGGAGAGGAAAGGCACAGGGAAACCTTAGTTCGGTCTAACGTACAATGAGGAGGAGGAGGAGGAGGAAAGGAGGGAAGGAGGAGAGGCGAAGGAGGAGGAGAAGGAGGAGAAGGGCACAGGAAAACCTTAGGTCGGTCTAACTACAATTGAGGCGAGGAGGAGGAGGGAGGAGGAAGGAGGAGAGAGGGGAGGAGGGGGGAGGAGGAGGAGGAGAAGGAGGAGAGGAGAAGGGCACAGGGACACCTTAGGTCTGTCTAACGAAACTGAGGAGGAGGAGGAGGAGGAGGAGGAGGAGGAAGGAGGAGGAGGAGAGAGGAGGAGGAGGGAGGAGGAGGAGGTGGGAGGGGGAGGAGGGGAGGCGGCGAGGAGAAGGAGGAGGAGGAGGAGGAGGAGGAGGAGGAGGAGGAGGAGGAGGAGAGGAGGAGGAGGAGGAGGAGGAGAGAGAGAGGAGGAGGAGGAGAGGAGACCTTAGGTCGGTCTAACGTAACATGAGGAGGAGGAGAAGGAGGAGGAGAAGGAGGAGGAGAGAGGAGGAGGGAGGAGGAGGAGGAGGAGGAAGACCAGGAGGAGGAGGAGGAGGAGGAGGAGGAGGAGGAGGAGGAGGAGGAGTGCACGTACTCGGAGGAGGAGGAGGAGGAGGAGGAGGAGGAGGAGGAGGAGGAGGAGGAGGCAGATTTCAACGCGGATTTCCCGATGGTCGACGATCAGGCTTCGGGGCAGGCGGCAGCTTGCGGCAGCTTGCGGGGAGGTTCTCAAGCCTTCTCTGAGCTCCCGTGGATGCCCCAATCGGTGGACTTCAGCATTGTGAAACTTGAAATCAACCACAATGGTGTAGCCCGTCTCATCCCCCTCGGCACGAAGGCGAAGCCTTTAGATTATGAGTGGAATACGTCGGCTATGTCGAGGCAGTCGTTGTCATCTGCTGTGTCGGTCGCTTTGCTTTTGGGTTCGCGGCGTGCCGCCCAACCCTCTCACTGGGAGCGTCGGTCAGGGTTCGCGGCGTGTCGCCCAACCCACTCCCTGGGAGCTTATGGCCCCGACTAGTCTGTCGGGGCCATCGTCGTGCTGCGTCGGTCTCGTCTGGTTTTCCAGTGTGCTCAGCTGTGTCGGTCGGTGGTAGTGGGTTCGCGGCGTGTCGCCCAACCCTCTCGGTGAGAGCGTCGATCTGGGTTCGCGGCGTGGCGCCCAACCCATAGGAGGAGGAGGAGGAGGAGGAGGAGGAGGAGGAGGAGGAGGAGGAGGAGGAGGAGGGAGAGGAGGAGGAGGGGAGGAGGAGGAGGAGGAGGAGGAGGAGGAGGAAGAGAGGAGGAGGAGGAGGAGGGAAGAGGAGGAAGAGGAGGAGGAGGAGGAGGAGGAGGAGGAGGAAAGGGAAGAGGCGGAGGAGGAGAAGGGTCCTGGCTGAGCCCCGGCAGCGATGAGCCCCGGCAGCGTGGAGCCCGGAGCGGCGGTCCGCCCCGCCTACCAGGCGGGGCAGCACCCCCGCAGGTTTGAAAAACAACCGCGGGCTGCGGCAGGCTGGGAGGCAGCTGCTGGGAGGCCTTCGTCGGAAGGACTAACTGGCCATCGCTCGGACGTCCATTTCCTGTGTTTTTTGTTCGGTTTCGTGCGTGGTCTTTTCGCGAAATGATCAAGGATGCTCCTCGATGGTCCTCGCCAAAGGAAAAATGCACACGTCCGAGCGATGCCAAGCTAAGGAGGATCGCGCCCCATTTCGAAGAAAAGCGCCACAAGCAGAAACTTTTGGCGCTCGGAGCGGATTTCTTGGATCTGCGCTGGACCCCCCTCCCCGGCGCGCGGAGCGCGCCCGCCGGGGGGGGGGCCCAACGCGGATCCAAGAAATCCGCGCGGAGCGCCAAACGTTTATGTTTATGGCGTTCTTCTTCTTCGAACTTAAAGAGGATTGCGTCCCCTTTGGGGGGCTGCTTCGCCAGATCAGGCCGCGGATTCGGCGGGATGGAGCCGGATTGTGAGCGGGCTTCGGCCGGATGGAGCGGGACTGCGCCAGAGGTCGGACCCGCGCAAAGTTAGAATTGGACCTCCCAGGAGTTGCACCCGAGGGCGGGCGCCGTGCGGCAGAGTGCACCGCGTGGCAGAAGCTGGCTCCTGCGCGCGGGCCCCTTCCTCCGCGGGGTGGCTTGAGGACCACAGGCTCGGGCCCTCGTAACGCGTCGTCGTCGTCGGCGTCGGTGTTGTCGTCGTCGGCGTCGTCGTTGTCGTCGTCGGCGTCGTCGTCGGCGGCGTCGTCGTCGTCGGCGTCGGCGTCGTCGTCGTCGTCGTCGTCGTCATCGGCGTTGTCGGCGTCGGCGTCGTCGGCGTCGTCGGCGTCGTCGTCGTCGTCGGCGGCGGCGTCGTCGTCGGCGGCGCGGGCCCCTGGGTTCGCCGGGGCCGCGCGCGCGCCGCCGAGCCCTGGGCGGAGGTCTCGCCGTTCTCTCGGGCCCTCGCCCCCCCGCCTGGGCCGTCGGCTGGCCCTGACGTCGGGCGTGCCCCTCTGCAGGGGGAAGGTTCCCGAATGATCAAGCAATCCAAAAAAATAGGGGGGCGATGTTTTGTTTAACATACTTTTGTTGATGTTTTTTGTTTGGATATTTCTGGCCAGTGTTAAATTCGCCCCTGTAAAAGGGCATGCCCTCCCCCCTCACCTGGGCCGTCGACTGGCCGTTCAACGTTTCTGCCAAGCCGCGGCGCAAGGTCTGGAAGCCGTGCTGTTTGGCGTGCTCCTCAAAGTGCTCGGCCGTGTTATTTCCGATGATGTTAATGTTCGAACCGATATCTACCAAGATAGACAATCGACCATCGGACAGCCTAGTCTTGAGCGGGCCCTTGATGTAGACCTGATGTCCATTGGGCGTGCTCACGCGGATGTCTGTTGCGCCCGCACAGCGTCTCCGCCGTTGTTCGGGCATGCCCCTTCTGCAGGAGGAATCTTCAAAAACCATCCAAACAAATCGAAACATATATGATGGGGGCGATTTGTTAAATGCTTTTGTGGAGGTGTTTCTTTTAGTTTGAACATTTTTTAGCCAGTGTTCATTTTTTCGCCCCAGATTCGCCCCTGTAGTGCGTTACTGTTTCCAAAAAAAAGAGTCCCCGGCATCCTCCCCCGGATCGCGCCCAGACCCCCCTGGGGCGTCATGATGCTCTCTTTTGACCCTACTAGAAACCTATCAGTCTTCGCTGCTAGGTAAAAATATGATGGGGGCGATTTTTAAATTCTTGTGTGGAGGTGTTTCTTTTAGTTCGAACATTTTTTGGCCAGTGTTAACTTTTTCGCCCCAGATTCGCCCCTGTAATTCGGAGGACATGCCCGACCCAAACCGACCCCCTCCTTCGCAGGCACGCGGCCCCCCCCGGCGCGGGGCCTGGGCGGCTGGGGGCGGGGGATCGCCCCGCGCCGCCGAGGCCTCGGGGGCGTCGGCGATGCCCCGGCGACAGCGGCGTCGAGGAGGCCGGGCCCCCTCCTCCTCCTCCTCCTCCTCCTCCTCCTCCTTCTCCTCCTCCTCCTCCTCCTCCTCCTCCTCCACGTCGAGCCGCGTCGCCGGTGCGTCGGCGATGCGGCGCGAACCTCTGACCCCCTCTGCGCGGGCCCCGCTTGGGGGGCCCCGATGTGCGGCGCTCGCGCCCGTGCGGCGCGCCCGGCGGGAGGCAGAGAAGCGCTCCCGGAGGAAGGACGTGCGAGCATCCCGCCGGGCTCGCTCCCGAGGCCCCACCCTCGGGGCAGCCCCGCCCCCCACGAGCTCCCGACGGGAGGGCGTTCCACCTGGAGCGCCCCGCGCTGGTGCAGGCGCCCGCGCGCCGAGACGGCGCCAGCCTGCCGCAGGTGGGGGAACAAACAATTATGAGGGGGCCCTGGGGCACACAAAGAAATACACACACATAACCGGATACCCCAGTTTTTTTTTTTTTTTCCTCCCCGCCACTTCCCAAATGTTCCCATCTTTTCGGGGGAGGCGACGATGAATATTGTGTCTGTGTTTTTTCCCCTCCGGAAATTGCACAAACACAACAGCCTGGCCTGGAGATCCGCGCGGATTGCTCGGATCGGCGCTGGGCCCCCCTCCCTGGCGCGAGGAGCGCGCCAGGGGCGGCGCCGGAGGCGCATCTTCGATCCGAGCAATCCGCGCGGACCTCCGAGCTTTTCTCTGGTCATGCCATTGCTTTTTCGGCAGTTCAAAGATGGGGTCCTGGGGGATGGGGTCCGAAGGATGGGGAGGGATCCAAGGGTGGATCTACACTGTTCGAGGCACCTCGCCCTCAGCACCCCACCCATTCAGGACCCCATCTCTGAACCACCGACGCTTGTGTTCGGCGGCTCCGGAGGGTGTGGTTTGCAAAGGGTGTGCTTTGCAACTGGCACCCTGGGGGCACCCTGGGGTGCGTGCGAGGACCTCGACAGAGCTCTCCGCCGCGCCCCGAGGAGTCCCGACGAGGACAGCGCCGTGCTCCCCAGGCCCCGACGGTGCCGATCGCACGTCACACCCGGGCGTAACCATACCGTTTGTAGTCGACGACGTGTGCCCCTATGATTAGGAGTTGAGCAGGGACCGACCGTCCCGGCACTTCTATAGTCGTACCACGAAATGTTCTTAGAACCCCCAAATGTTCTAAGAACAAAACCAATGTGCTTAGAACAGAAGCCAGATGTGTTAAAATTATCCCGGCAAAGCAACCTAACAGCGATGTGTATAAGCATATATGGAAGCATTCCCCTTAAGATTCAGATGATAATCCAGTTGTAGAGTTCTGCTGTTCTCGCAGTCGCAGTCGCATTCGCGATGACAGTCGCAGTGGCAGCGGCAGTCGCAGTCACAGCCTCAGCCTGCCTCAGTATCAGCCTGCCTCAGCCTCAGCCTCAGCCTGCCTCAGCCTCAGCCTCAGCCTGCTTCAGCCTCAGCCTCAGTCTGCCTTCAGCCTCAGCCTCTGTGCCTCAGCCTGCCTCAGCCTCAGCCTGCCTCAGTATCAGCCTGCTTCAGCCTCAGCCTCAGCCTGCCTCAGCCTCAGCCTCAGCCTCAGCCTCAGCCTGCCTCAGCCTCAGCCTCATCAGCCTCAGCCTGCCTTCAGCCTCGGCCTCAGCCTCAGCCTGCCTCAGCCTCAGCCTGCTCAGCCTCAGCCTCAGCATCAGCCTGCCTCAGCCTCAGCCTCAGCCTCAGCCTCAGCCTGCCTCAGCATCAGCCTGCCTCAGTCTCAGCCTCAGCCTGCCTCAGCCTCAGCCTGCTTCAGCCTCAGCCTCAGTCTGCCTTCAGCCTCAGCCTCTGTGCCTCAGCCTGCCTCAGCATCAGCCTGCATCAGCAGCCTCAGCCTCAGCCTCAGCCTGCCTCAGCCTCAGCCTCAGCCTGCCTCAGCATCAGCCTGCCTCAGCGTCTGCCTCAGCCTGCCTCAGCCTCTGCCTCTGCCTCAGCCTCAGCCTCAGGCTCAGCCTCAGCCTGCCTCAGCCTCAGCCTCAGCCTCAGCCTCAGCCTCAGCCTCTGCCTCAGCCTCAGCCTCAGCCTCAGCCTCAGCCTCAGCCTCAGCCTGCCTCAGCCTCAGCCTCAGCCTCAGCCTGCCTCAGCCTCAGCCTCAGCCTGCTTCAGCCTCAGCCTCAGTCTGCCTTCAGCCTCGGCCTCAGCCTCAGCCTGCCTCAGCCTCAGCCTGCATCAGCCTCAGCCTCAGCCTCAGCCTGCCTCAGCATCAGCCTGCGTCAGCGTCTGCCTCAGCCTGCATCAGCCTCAGCCTCAGCCTCAGCCTGCCTCAGCATCAGCCTGCCTCAGCGTCTGCCTCAGCCTGCCTCAGCCTCAGCCTCAGCCTCACCCTCAGCCTCAGCCTCAGCCTCAGCCTGCCTCAGCCTCAGCCTGCCTCAGCCTGCCTCAGCCTGCCTTCAGCCTCGGCCTCAGCCTCAGCCTGCCTCAGCCTCATCAGCCTCAGCCTGCCTGCCTCAGCCTCAGCCTCAGCATCAGCATCACCATTCTCAGCCTCTGCATCAGCATCAAAATGTGGCCCGGGAATGGAGTTCTGGGAACTCGAAGACCACGAAGTGGCCTACAGTTGGCTCCGGGCATTCAAAATGTGGCCCGGGAATGGAGTTCTGGGAACTCGAAGACCACGAAGTGGCCTACAGTTTGCTCCGGGCATTCAAAATGTGGCCCGGGAATGGAGTTCTGGGAAGTCGAAGAGCACGAAGTGGCCTACAGTTGGCTCCGGGCATCCAAAATGTGGCCCGGGAATGGAGTTCTGGGAAGTCGAAGACCACGAAGTGGCCTACAGTTGGCTCCGGGCATCCAAAATGTGGCCCGGGAATGGAGTTCTGGGAAGTCGAAGAGCACGAAGTGGCCTACAGTTGGCTCCGGGCATTCAAAATGTGGCCCGGGAATGGAGTTCTGGGAAGTCGAAGAGCACGAAGTGGCCTACAGTTGGCTCCGGGCATTCAGAATGTGGCCCGGGAATGGAGTTCTGGGAGGTCGAAGAGCACGAAGTGTGTGACTGTTTGCGAAAAACGAATTCGGACACGAGTTCGGACACAGCTCCACGGATGCCGCCCAGACCCCCCTGTGGAGTCATCTGCTGCTCTCTTTTGACACCACTAGAAACCTATCAGTCTTCGCTGTTAGATAACAAGACGGCCCCAGCCAGAAATGTTCCAAGAACATGTCGTGGAAACCACACAATGTTCTTAGAACACTGTTTGGTAGGCCTATAGGCGAGCCAGGACGCTTCGCCACTGCTTGATTGTGGTCGCCGACGCGTGCCCCGATTGGTTGTTTTTCTGGGGGAAGGAGGAGGAGGAGGAGGAGGAGGAGGAGGGAGGAGAGGAGGAGGAGGAGGAGGGGAGGAGGGAGAGGAGGAGGAGAAGGAGGCGGAGGAGGAGGAGGAGGAGGATGAAGAGGAGGCGGGGTAGGAGGAGGAGGGGAGGAGGAAGAGGAGGAGGAGGGGGAAGGGGGAGGGGATGAGGAGGAGGAGGAGGAGGAGGAGGAGGAGGAGGAGGAGGAGGAAACCACCCGCTGGCGTTGGCACCCGGGCGTAACCCTACCGCCTGTGGTCGCCGACGTGCGCCCCTGCGATCAGAAGGGCGTCTCTCACTGCTCGGGGTTCAGCAGGGAGACCTGAGGGCCGGCGGGCCGTCTTCGAGCCGGCCGCCTCCGAGCCGGCTGGCTCCGGCCCGCGAGCCCCCCAGGCACCTCCCATCCCGTTCGTGTCCTCCTCCTTCCTCCCTCCTCCTTCCTCCCTCCCTCCTTTCTCCTCCCTCCTCCCTGCTCGAAATAATTTCTGGAATGCGATCCTCAAGTACGATAGGGGACAACAGGAAGCAAAGCCCAGACCTGGGGCTCACCGTCCGCCTTCAGGCGCCACCAGAACGGCCGCCCGGACTTCGGCAGGATGGCCTTCTGCCAGGCCGACGTGAAGGGGCTCCCGTCGGAGGTGGCCTTCGCCTGGGGCCCGCGGCCGCGCTGGCCGGGGAGGGAGGAGGAACCGTGAGGGTAGTTCTAGGGCGGGCATGTCCTCCTTCAGGCGGATTTTGGAAGAACAGCGAAAAGCAGTAAACAAATCCGCCGACCCTGTCGGCGTGTGGAAGATGCTTTTCCGTTCGTCGTGAACGTCGTCGTCGTCGTCGCCGCCGTCGTCGTCGTCGTCGTCGTCGCCGTCGTCGTCGTCGTCGTCGTCGTCGTCGTCGTCGTCGTCGTCGTCGATGCTCTTCCGTTCGTCGTCGTCGTCGTCGTCGTCGTCGTCGTCGTCGTCGTCGTCGTCGCCCTCCCCTCAGGCGCGCCAGCCAAAGCGAAACCAAAGCGAAATCGAGCAACGTCGTAGCTGAGTCGAAGGCAAAGCGAAATTGAGCAACGTCGTAGCTGAGTCGAAGGGAAGCCCCTTCCCTTTGATCCCTTCCCCGCCGGGGGGGGGGGGGGGTCCCGGGGGGGGTCCCGGGGGGGGGGGGGGAGCAGATACGCATCCCCCCCGGGATGTCCCGGGACCTAGAAAAGCCCCCAGACTGGCCAAGAGTGCCCCAAGAGGCTTCCAAGACGGCTCCAGAGGGCCCCGAATCGCCGAACCATCGGTCGAAGACGCCAAAGTAGCCTCCAGACGGCCCAAGAGATTGCCAAGACGCTCCAAGAAGTCTCCAAGAGCACTCCCAAGAGGGCACGAAGAGGGACAAATCAATGATTTCCTTCAAGTTTCTGACAGATTTTGGCGTTCTCGCCGTTTCAACTTGCCGACGCTCCAAGACGGCCTCAGATGCCCCCAAGATTGCCCCAAACTGGCCCAAGAAGGCCCCGAGAGAGTCCCCGAGAGATCCCCAGAGAGTCCCCGAGAGGCCCTTGAGAATAGCTCCAGATCGCCACCGCCGTCAACGTCGTCGTCGTCGGCCAAAGACGCTCCCGAGAAAGCCTCACGATTGCCAACAACGGCCCCAACACGACCCCCCCCCCACACGAGACCCAAAGATACCCCCAAGAGGCCCCCCCCCGCCACTTTAGAGAACGCATGGGTCGCCCTCCAGGGTCGGCGGCACCGGCCGTAAGGCCTTCGCAATATTCAAACATATTAAACAAGGCAGGCAAAATCGTCACCAGACGATTCTTCTCACTATTATTGAAAATTCCTCCTGTAGAGGGACATGCCCAACTTAAGGGTAACTGTTTCTTCGCCTTCGGCATATGAAGGCCGCAACGGTACACGTCAATCGGAAGGAGTAGGTCGACACACCGAGTGGGAAGCCGATCGAAGCAGGCTTCGGCCTGTTCTTGCGACAGCAAGGAATCAGGAAGGCCTGTCGGATCTTGAAGCAGGGAGGCGCCGGCAGCACCTATGACATGAGGTCCAGTGGCGCTCGCCTTTGTCTTTTGTCCCTTCAGTCCTGCTTCCATTTTTCGGGAGCGGCCAAGAGGGGGGTGTCCAAGAGGGGGGGGTGCAAATCATGACCGGCGGCATGTGCGCGGCCCGGCGGGGGGGGCCAGGGACGTAATGAAATAAGAAGAGGCGCCATGAAATCTGGGGAAAAATCATGGCCCCCGCCATGATATCCACCCCCCCTAGTCATCACCCCCCTCTTTTCCGCCCCCCGATCTTTTGTCCCTTCAGTCCTGCTTCCATGTTACAGTCTACGAATGAAGGGCTGAAGGGCCTGGGCTGTCACAAGCACGATAGGGGGGTCATCTCCACTGCCTAGCTGGCCTGGGCCGCCCCAAGATTCCCAGGCGGACGCCCCCGCACTGCCAGGACGGCCCGAGAGGCCCCCCCGAGGAGCTCCGACGAGGGCTGCCAAGAGCCCAAGACGGACGAACAGTCGAAGGGGCCCTGGGACACACAAATAAATGCACACAAATAAAATTATGCAAACGGAGTTCCCCACATAAAGAGATTAACGGTTTTGTGGGACCCATTTTCTTGATGCCCTCCTCGCTCAGGCGGGGCCTCCCTGGAGGGGTGGGAGGGGCACGAAACCATGTAAATAGTATGGTTTTCCGATACCCTCCTCGCTCAGGCGGGGCCTCCCTGGAGGGGTGGGAGGGGCACGAAACCATGTAAATAGTATGGTTTTCCGATACCCTCCTCGCTCAGGCGGGGCCTCCCTGGAGGGGTGGGAGGGGCACGAAACCATGTAAATAGTATGGTATTCCGATACCCTCCTCGCTCAGGCGGGGCCTCCCTGGAGGGGTGGGAGGGGCACGAAACCATGTAAATAGTATGGTATTCCGATACCCTCCTCGCTCAGGCGGGGCCTCCCTGGAGGGGTGGGAGGGGCACGAAACCATGTAAATAGTATGGTATTCCGATACCCTCCTCGCTCAGGCGGGGCCTCCCTGGAGGGGTGGGAGGGGCACGAAACCATGTAAATAGTATGGTATTCCGATACCCTCCTCGCTCAGGCGGGGCCTCCCTGGAGGGGTGGGAGGGGCACGAAACCATGTAAATAGTATGGTATTCCGATACCCTCCTCGCTCAGGCGGGGCCTCCCTGGAGAGGTGGGAGGGGCACGAAACCATGTAAATAGTATGGTATTCCGATACCCTCCTCGCTCGCCTCCCTGGAGGGGTGGGACCATGTAAATAGTATGGTATTCCGATACCCTCCTCGCTCAGGCGGGGCCTCCCTGGAGGGGTGGGAGGGGCACGAAACCATGTAAATAGTATGGTATTCCGATACCCTCCTCGCTCAGGCGGGGCCTCCCTGGGAGGGGCACGAAACCATGTAAATATATGGGTGGTTTCCGATCCCCTCCTCTCTCAGGGGCCTCCTGGAGGGTGGGAGGGCACGAAACCAGGTAAATAGTATGGTTTTCCGATACCCTCCTCGCTCAGGCGGGGCCTCCCTGGAGGGGTGGGAGGGGCACGAAACCATGTCAAATAGTATGGTATTCCGATACCCTCCTCGCTCAGGCGGGGCCTCCCTGGAGGGGTGGGAGGGGCACGAAACCATGTAAATAGTATGGTATTCCGATACCCTCCTCGCTCAGGCGGGGCCTCCCTGGAGGGGTGGGAGGGGCACGAAACCATGTAAATAGTATGGTATTCCGATACCCTCCTCGCTCAGGCGGGGCCTCCCTGGAGGGGTGGGAGGGGCACGAAACCATGTAAATAGTATGGTATTCCGATACCCTCCTCGCTCAGGCGGGGCCTCCCTGGAGGGGTGGGAGGGGCACGAAACCATGTAAATAGTATGGTATTCCGATACCCTCCTCGCTCAGGCGGGGCCTCCCTGGAGGGGTGGGAGGGGCACGAAACCATGTAAATAGTATGGTATTCCGATACCCTCCTCGCTCAGGCGGGGCCTCCCTGGAGGGGTGGGAGGGGCACGAAACCATGTAAATAGTATGGTATTCCGATACCCTCCTCGCTCAGGCGGGGCCTCCCTGGAGGGGTGGGAGGGGCACGAAACCATGTAAGTAGTATGGTTTTCGGTATGGAGTGGTATGGAATGGTATGGTAGGTATGGTATGGTACGGAATGGTATGATATGGTATGGTATGGTACTGGAGGTATGGTATGGTATGGTACGGTGTGGCATTGGTGTGATATGGTATGGTATGCTATGGTACGCCATGGTATGGTATGTTACGGTATGGTACGTATGGTGTGGTATGGTATGGTATGGCATGGTATGTGTGGTAGGAACTATGGTATGGTATGGTGTGTGTGTGGTAGGAATAATATTGTGCTGTATGGAAGATGGAGCGGGAGGTGGGTGGGAAGGAGAGGGTGTTCTGGGAAAACAAGAACCCCACTCAGGATGTGGGGAAATATCCACCATATTTTCCTATAGTTTCTGGGTTTTCGTCTTCCCGCCCAATTCCCATATTTTCCCATATTTTCTGGGAATCGACGAATAATTGTGTCTGTGTGTTTTTCCCCTCCTGAACAGTCCCCTAACATGTCTCCAAGAGACGCCAGGATGACCCCAAGTGCCCGCAAGAAGTCCCCCTTGTTCCTCGCCAGCTCTTTCGCTCCTTGCTTCAGACCCCATCGGTGTCGCCAGCTTCTGAATCTCCCTCGCCCCCCCTCCCCTCGGCCATCGGCCGCCCGGAATGCTGCACCCCCCGTGCTGGCGTGACCCGCGCCGGGCTCGCTCCGTCCCCCCAGCTTCTGCTTCTGTCTTTCATGCTTCTCGACTCAAGATCGCTTCTTCACGAGGGCCGCAGAAGGCCCTGGGATGGCCCAGGAGGGCCCCGAGAAGCCCCGAAGACGGCCCCAAGAGTCTGAGATTCACCGGAGAGGCCCAGCATTGCCCAAGAGACACCCCGAGACGGCCCCAAGACCCTTCCAAGCAGGCCGGGGACCCTTCCCCCGTGGCTCAAGATAGTCAAAGGGAAAGGCTCGCCCGACGCCCCAGAGGGGCCCATACTATTACGCAAAGGCGCGTCAAGCAGGCACGCCCAACTCGTTACTGCCCGAATGGTCAGAGGTAAGGGGCCGAGCGGGTGTGGCGTAATCCTCATGGGTCAAGTGTCCAGAGGCAACGTGCTGAGCGGCAGGGTGTCAAGCTTGCTGTCTTCCCTCACGCTGCGCGGCACTTCTGACTGTTTCATGTGTGACGTGTGCATGCAAGCATAAGTGTGCACGTGCGTATTTGCTGTACGCACATACATTCAAGTGTGCACACAATCCAACACACGCGTGTGTCTACAAATGTTTCTCTGTCGGTCTGTCTGTCTGTCTGTCTGTCTGTCTGTCTGCTTCTGCTTGTATGTATGCATATACGCATGCATGTATTTATGTGTGTACGTACGTACGTATGTATGTACATATGTATGTATGTATGCATGTATGTATGTGTGTATGTATGTATGTATGTATGTATGTATGTATGTATGTATGTATGTATGTATGTAGTTATATATGTATGTATGTATGTATGTATGCTGGCAGGTATGTATGACGTTTGTATGTATGTATGTATGTATATATATATATATGTATGATGGTATGATTGTATGCCT